TCACTCCCTCAGCTTTTAATATAAAGGCAGTAGACCAACGTGAGATGCAGTTCCATGGTAACCAGTGGCCAACAATATATTCATACTCAATTTGTTCCTTCAGGATCTTGAAGCCCATGTGCAACATTGGTTTGGAATCACGGTTTTCCAACTCCTCTAGATGGGTCCTTTGTATACATCAAACCGAGGTTAAAGAGTCGGACATTCGCTTTTCGTCCTCTCAATTTCATAAACAACCCCCTTGCGTCGAGAAGGCAGTGAGTAAGTGTTGTGGATGCGGAGGAATAGACCAATAATTATCATGTTAAGTCCAATGGTGTCCTTGGACTTTAAATGGACATTGCCTATTGGTCGATATCTGTTCACTTGTTAAATATTGTACAAAATGTTGTTTTCTATTTTATGGTACGATGTGGTGTGCTTGATTGGTATATAAACAAAGTATGTTTGAAATATAATGATTCATATCTCCGAGGCGGTGGCTTGTGTTCTGGACTCAACTAACTGGGCTAGACAGGGAAGTGAGACAAATCAGAACTCTAGGTCGTTCTACGTGTTTGTGCGTCTTTGGTCCGATCAATAATTCGCCCCCCTTAATCCGCAGCAAATATTTTTCACAGTCATAACAGTAAGACTTCCTTGACAGTAGCTGTATATGCGCGACCACATGAAGGTATATCGAGAGATAAAGGGAGCGGACTCTCCTCACTCTCGGCCGTACCAGGGAAATGTTGAGAGTGTATATATTTACACTCAGATATGTGAGATTATGTAGTGATATTTTTAAAAAATTAAGAGTGAAAAAAAGACGTTAGGCATTGGAAATTTAATAAACATTCTACAATCACTGAGTCGTAATAAGCTTTATTACTATTACTGCGAAATGCTTTTCATTTATGGAGACACTCTCTGTTTCCTGAATGAAAAGTGACTTCCAATGTCATCCTTATTTTGATTGTTTGTCCTTAAAATGTGGATACTACTGATCATACGACCACTGGTAATAGTATCTGTGGTAGTAAAAAACATTAAATATAAACAATATTATTCGAGAAGAAATAATCAGTTCGCGTTACAAATGGTATAGGATAAACTTAAAACTTGAGATTTAAAGAAGGACAAAGGATGAATATATCAACAGCATAGGAATCGACATTTTCGAACCTTAGTCAGGATAATCGCGTAGATCCCAACTTTGATCCAACAAACACGGCTCAGTCGACATAGTCAATGACTTCAGGAACTGATTTCAAATCATGGTTTGTATCTTCACAAACAGAAACTTTTCATAAAATATGTTTAGGTATTGATATGTTGTAAAGTGATTTCAAGTTGCCATCATAATTAACCGAACAGAGATTAATAAACAGATTACTATCGACAATTAGTTAAATAAACCTTAGAACTTCATCAATCAATCATAGAACAGATTCAAACAAGAAACGACAACACTTTAAAATAGATAACTAGTAGTTCAGACTGGGAGTCATAGAGACTATTCAAAATTTAGTCTTGAATATTAAGGAGAGGGTTAATTCAAACTATTTAACACAATACATATCTATAATTAAATTTATTTATGAAAAGATAAGAAGTAATTGCTGTTTAAAATTATAGTAGAGAGTAAGAAACAAAATGTGTATTTTTATCTCAAATATATATTTTGATCATTTTGTATAAAGGTTAGATTTATATTTAATGAAATGAAGGAGTGAATGATGTTTATGATTATACTGAAAAAGAACAAAGATTCAATGTATAAGTGAATATAGTAGGAAGTATTAACGAGTTCTATTAAGATAACATTTATTAATCATAGGTTGAGTAAGTAAGTGAGTGAGTGAGTGAGTGAGTGAGTGAGTGAGTGAGTGAGTGAGTGAGTGAGTGAGTGAGTGAGTGAGTGAGTGAGTGAGTGAGTGAGTGAGTGAGTGAGTGAGTGAGTGAGTGAGTGAGTGAGAGTGAAATGAAGGGTGAATATCTCCAACTATCCAGATACAGACATAAATGTAACGATGTTAACGTCTATATTGAAAACATAATCATGTAATTACAATTCTCAGTGTCAAACTAACCAGCGTACCATTCAACAAATAGTTATAAATAATTATTATAGATATATGAAGTATAAATGCTAACAAAATTAACTATTCAATTGACCCAATAAACAAAACAAAAACCACATTTTCACATTAAATTCAACCTACATATCTAATTATTATGTCTATAAATACCCAATAATCAAATATCAATCAATCAACATAGTGAACTTGGTCTAAACACATTCATCAACACGATTTACAGCATTGTCAATCAATTTATGATTAATAATAAAAGAAATAATAAACTTAGATGTAGATGAGAAAGTGAAGTTTTGGTGGAGTTTTGTTCTTTGTGCTAAAATAGAATAGTCCTGGAACATTCATCGTTTCTCAGAACGACATCATTAGCACAAACTTCAAATAAAAGTGAAGTGTTCGAATTTCTTCACATATAACTCACAGCTTGTGTTTTAGACCTCGATCTTGATTGGTTGACTTTTAACTTATCATTGTTTACTTTATTTTCATTGATTTGATTCATGGTCCTATATTTGTCTAAGATTTTTCTAATTAGTTGATAGATTGAATCCAGCTGAAAGAACAAAACTCCACCAAAATCATTCAACTGAACTACAAATTCCCTTCACCATCTTGAGAAAGTGAAGTGATAAGTTGGAAAGGTGGTCAGGATATAATTAAAGCTGAATAATCAGCTTTGTGTTTCACGTAAATCATGAACAAATGACATGTTGTACAAATTGAGGGTATGTGAGTTACAAATGTTACAACATTATATCTTGATCTATTGTAAGTAGAGAATGTTTATTGGCATGAGGAATAGTTAGGTAGTGATAACAATAACGTAACTTTGGTTAGTCTAACACTTCAGTTAGTTATGACAGTGAATTTCAAAATTATACATGCTACTGACTGCTATCTGTAGTTCATATTGAGGTACTATTCAATTAGCTATCTCTACAATATTAATTTAAGATTCTGTCTATTACACTTTTGTATGCATAAATGTGTATATGTGTACATGTGATTCAGATGGGGAAGCAGATCGAGCTCAACTTGAATCTATCATCACCACCAGATGATTCAAGAACTAACTGTTAATCAATCAGTTATATTACATATAAAAATCAATTCTGTATCATTCATTTTAAACAATCAGACAAAAGGCTAAGAAATCATACCAATCTACTGCTTACAGAAATCTGTAATTATCTAATTGAACTGAATGAATTATCTATCATTACATACAAATAGACCGAATCATGTGCTTTACAAGAATTCAGTTGAACTGAACTATAACAGCTCATTCCAAAATTAAGTATTAATTTAAATAAAGAATCAACTATAGTTGATGTATTCAAAGACAAACCAAGTGTAAAATTAATTTGAAACTGATGTAAACTCCTCCTACTCAAACACACATGAACATTATGTAAATACATGTACAATATCTCTATATCATCATGATTTTGATCATGAGTAAGGTGATTATTTGAAAGACACAATGCGGGTGTGCATTTACTCATGTAAAAATTAAATGCAAAGTTGCTGTGTATTAATTCTGTAAGTAAGAATATGCACATAATGTCACACACATACAGATTATATATACGTATATATATGTAGTCAGTCAGATTGCACATAAGCATATAATACAGGAAGAAAGAATTAATTCGTAGAAAGAAACCTACATAGTAATTTTGATCTCACGTTTAAGGGAAGGCAACGAGTGTATACACCTACGATATTGTGGTCGACTCTGAGCCATGTCACCAAGAGTCTCCAACCATTGACTACGATAGTCGCACGGATCCCGATCAAGTAGTCTGCATCTAACAACATGGCTCAGACCACAAGTTAGTGAATTCAAGGACTGAAATCACGTTTTGGTTTGGCCGACCCTAACTTTCTTTTAACCATCTCTCCAATACTAGTCGGCATTGCACGTCGTGGTAATCGGTGTTCAGGCATACGTAACACGTGGCCCTACCATCTCAGTCGATGAAGATTTACAACTTCGTCAACTGATTTACCATCATTCCCTAATACCCTGCATCTGACCTCACTTTTACTTACCCGGTAATCCAAGCAGATATTGGCAATACTTCTAAGACACCTATAATTGTGTATTTACTTGTCAATTATGAAACATGTTATTCTGAAATAAAAACAAATCTATGATTCCACTCTTAAAAATCAAAGTTTCTTCAGAAAAAATATCTTAACAATCAATTTAATTTTAGAAACAATTTTTCCCATTTATAAATTTGAGTTAGATAACAACAACGATTGAGGTAAAATACGGGTATTGAAACATCAATATCATGTATGCTGTCGAAAACTTTCGGTTCGTTTATCAGCAGTTTATATGTACGCATGTAATGTAAACGTATGGTTAATGCATTCGACTATCAACCAATAAGTTTCAGGCTATAAATCTACTCTACTGACATAGGTTTGAGAAAACGGTTAGTAGTGCTACCACTGTAGCGAACGAGCAGTTAGCTGGGGAAGACCAATTTATTATTTGGTGTACAATCACATAGTAATTTAGTAAAATGTAAAAATCACACATCAAACTCATCATTCGCACATCTTTGAATTATCCCTTACAAGCTTTATTGTTTCTTTATTCCTGTTGTTACCTCGATTGTTTTCATTTCCCTTCTCTCTTCTCTTCATTTCAATCTTACCAACCTTCTGCTTGCAGACATTTCACCTCCGACTGATGTTACTACTTATATCTGAAACCATAGGTAGCATACATCATACTACTACTAATAGTCACTATGTTTTATGGTTCCAGGTTGGATAAACGAATATATACTACATAAATGAGTTTTTATTAAAACTCCAAGTACTTTACACAAACACAGGAATTTTAATAAATTGATACATAACCAATAACATAAAAACAAATGGCATCAATAAAAAGCAACCTACCATATTCAACGATCTCCTTGGAATACATGGTGATGTAACTTCTGTGGTGTGAGGTGTAAGTGTGCGAGAATTTGAACGATTATTATCAAGATGTCGATTATCAATGGTGTCGACTTTCGGTGAATTTTTCGCTTTATTATTACTGTTATCAAGAGAAGAGAGAAGCCCAGCACTAGTTAAAGAAAATCGATTGTTTGCAACATCACCACTATCACTATTGATTATTGTTAAACGTGAAGGTTGTTTTGGTCGACGTATTGTCACAAATCCACTGTCTGCTAGATTACTACTGCACAATGATGAGGCAAATGTTGCTGTATTAATTCTATCATCATAGTCAACGACACCATGATTGTTGTCACTGGAATTATGGGACACACTGTCAACAGCCGACATTTGACGTGATTTAAGGCATACATTAGGCGAATCCGGATAATCCATAAGGCTTAAACGACTTAAATTGGTTCTATTGGTATTACGGATCAATAGAGTACGATCTTTTTGTTCTAAATTTATAAGACAGAAAGAAGAAAGGAGAAAAAATAAGTAACGAATCAACATGAAAGTAAGTGTATACTTGTAAATGAAAGCAATATTATACAGTTCGAAATCTATAGAACTAAGTTAAATCAATGGTGCAAAGAGGTCAGTGGAGATAGTTGAATTTTAGGGCTCACATTACGAGATAACCCTAGTTAGACAACCACTAAAGACTAAGAATACAAGACATTTGTTTTTTCGTGGTATGGGAGTGCCCAAATAAAACGATACTTGGCATCGTGATTTGTCTGAAGTAAGAGTAATACACGCTATTAGGTCATAACTCGTCAGTTCAAAAGTAAAGCGTTCGCCATGAGACCTTAATGTCCCTGTCCCGATCTCTAACTAGGTTGCGGCTACACAGTGAATGCTGAGGAGTCCAATACCACGATAGAACATCTGCCCAGTGGTTATTGGTTTTTATTGGTCTATTAACTAAAGTAAGTTCATGATATATGCTCACAAATTAAAATTTTTAAATGAATGTCATTGCAACAGTTCTATAAATTAAACAAATTCCCAGGTACGGTCTAGAGTGGAGAAAATCTGGTCACCCTCTCGAAATACTCTCACATGGCTACGCGTATACAGCTAGAATCAGGGAAGTCCTACTCACTGCCTTTCTCATCACGAAGGTGTTGTTTACCACATTGAGAGGACGAAAAACGAATGTTCGGTGTTTAAATCGGGTCGATAGGTACGGAGCATCCACCTAGAGTAGTTGGAAAACTCCAAGCCAGTACAGCACATGAGCTGAAGGATCCTAAAGGAACAAAAGACGTACCAACCTACTGTTGGTCACCGGCTACCATGGAACTGAATTCTCTAACGTTCCACTGCCTTGTGAATTAGACCTATAGGTCAATGGTTCGGGGTGTGATCCTCTAAGTAAACCACCTGCTTAGGTTTGGGTGTCCGGGCAGTATTCGAATGTTTTGTGTGGTGCATATATATTTGGTGCCTCCTTGTACTAATATGTGTGTTAAAATAAATTTATGATATTTATCATCTCGTTAAAACTCCATGATGATGGTTAGACGTAGAATATTTTTAAAAAACAAACAGGAAAACTTACATGAATCATGAATAGACTAAAACCTTTTTTTTAATTACTTCTAAGCTTGAACCCCGAAATGAATATTTTAAACACAACTAACCTAAACTAATCATTAAAGGAGCAAGTTTAAAATGTCTTTTTTTAAAGGGGACAAAATGTCTTTATCCATTGCTAGATGAACACTGTGTCTCATCTGTGTGAAACAACACAAACATACAACATAGACAACATATTCAATTAAGTGTAAATCATCAATCATACAGTGAAATGACTTGTTTTAATAAATCAGGAATATCCATGATGATGAGAGCAATGATTGATATATTTTTTGTCTTCAAAAACAAAAAACCCAATCAAACAGCTGTGTTGATGATGATGATCCATGTATCACATAAATGAGGGATCAGAGAGGGATACAAACACACACACACACATTCACACATGAACGTACCATTCAACCAACCAACCGACCAACCAACCAACCAACCAACTAACATAGTGACATATCTAACATCAATATTCTGTCGATTGAAATGAATTAATTTGTTTTTTTTTTATTATTTTTTGATGAATAGAGTTTCATGCTTCGTAAAGAGACAAATAGAAATGTAACACAATTGTAGCTGTCAGTCAAGAGAGAAAGAGAGAGAGAGGGGGAAAAGAGGGAGATAATTTAGTAATATATGAATTTAATTCAAATTTGCATCAAATTACATAAAGGAGATATTAATAATAATTTTCTTAAGAGAACATTAGTAATGAAGATTAGTTAGTATTGAAGTTTTGCATTTATAGATTTAAGAAATGCACGCAAATACTGACACATACATATACAGGGAGGGGGAGAGAGAGGTGGGTGGGGGAAAGAAACATAGGGGAACGAGTTTAGATTTAACAAAGAAATTCATGAACACTTAGTTAAACAATTAATAAAGTCTATCTAACTATTCACTTGGTATTGTTTGGCTTGTATCTTCCCATTGAAGCTTAAGCCTGCAATTGATCAGTCTGTTATTGGCATATGTGCATACTGTGAGTATGCCTCGATATTACCTTAATTCATAAGCTTTTTGTAAGCAATGATGGATAGTGGCTAGCAGTGGAATCCAGGACGAAACGCGTGTCTTGGATTCCACTGCTAGCCACTATCCATCATTGCTTACAAAAATCTATCTAACTATGCTTTCAATTTGACATATAAAGCCATGAATCGTAAGAAAATTAAAATAATTGAAGAGACTAATCGCCTATAAAATTTGTTAGTATAAGGTTTGTAAATCGATTGATTAGACTACAAATTCTTATTAAGTGAAATGGTTGGAATATGAGTTACATAAGGACAACCATCGCCTATACCAAATATTTTGTAGCAGTTAGCATATATTGGAAAAAGGTTACTATTAGGGATAGAACCATTAATAACTAACTTGATTTGTCTAGAAAGATGTAAACTATTTGGTTAGGGTTTTCGAGGTGATCATGATTGAAGATTGTACTTAACATAGTTTCTAATTAGCTCCCATGAAGTAAATGTATTATCTAATAAATACTGGAATTTAATACAATTTCATCGAACATATATTGTGTGTACCCAGCTTGATGGGTGGGGGATGTCGACTAGTGTAAGAGTATGTCTGAAAAAGAAACTAGGAGCTCCCAAACCAAGATGTAGTATCAATCCAAGAAAATTAATGGGCCATTTTGATAGATGAACATTATTTAGGTTAGGCGGTCATCATGACTAATGACCCCAAGTGAAATGACTCAAAATCAGTCACCGTAGTGCAAGTGTATTCACTCTTTTTTTACATCTTTTATTGCACGAAAGCAAATTTCTATCTCAAATCATATTTCCTACACCCATTCTTTTCACTATCACTATTCTGATATTCACCTCGTTAATTTTATTCCACAATCAGTTAACTAACATAGGTAGTTACATTACATAGGATTTAGAATTGAAATTGAATGTAAATATAAATGTTTTTATTTCATGGAAATCATGAACTCATCTAAGTGAATCAACCGTTGAAAACATAAATGCACTGGACAAATATTGTTCTCAAACAGATCTTCATCAGGCTTTATACTCTAATATGCAGTAATATTTATGTGCAAACATGCATGTAGGAGGATTATGCAGCTAGTGGAAACGGTAAACCATGACGACAAGTGTATTTAGTTATGATAGAAATAGTAACAACCTCGATAAGTGTTTTTAACAACATAAGAAATAAGTCAAAACCTTGGGAAATACATATTAAAATCATTAAAAATTACTGTAATTACGGAATAAAGAATGTGAAAATGATCAGTACAGATAGATGTTACGTAATGTGAATAGCATTTTATTTTCATTATCACTATGGGAAATTGTATAGATTGTAGTATTTTCACAGTTGAATTCACAAGTTGATCTATGCTAGGCCACCACTGATAACCTTGTTTATTTTCCAAAGTTTTGACCTACAATTTATCCAGGTTATTATTATTCTCATTACAATCAGCACGTTTGTCATCTCACTACTAACTTGTCATATTTAGTTGCGTAATCTTCTTTTATTGTCCTGATATTAGTTTAATATTTTTCATTTGTTTTTAATACAAGTATTACTGCATAGTAGAGTACAAACAATATGATCAATCTTGATTATAGAACAATAAAAAATGATCAAGGAATTGTCAAATGTAAAAATTCAACCTTTTGCGAATTAGAGAAAGCGGAAATAAATCCAAATATCTTTGTTATATGAAATCTTGAAGTGATGCCCAATGATCAGATCACTTGAAATTAAACCTACAAGTTTTAATCTCGAATATCACCTTACCAGCTTCAGTTTATCCTCCCGGGACAATATCGCTAGCTCTAATACACATACACCTAAAGCGTGAATGAAAGCTGGGTGTACATAAGTTTGGGCTCAATAAATGACTCAAATTATTAATTGGATAAAACCTTCTTTTCAAGCATATCAAAGACAGTGAAAGTCGATTATTCTGTACTCAGTTCGTCTGTTTGATTAACACTGGTTCTTTGAGAGTAATTAGCTATCAAAAAGCATGTGTAGTATGCAACGTAAATGTTCGAGTTCATAGTAATAATTCATTTTACAGTAAACTGTTTTCATTTTGGACAGCGCACTTAACTTCAAGAAAATAAGACAGTAAATACTACTTCATTTCTTGAAAAAAAAAACAATAGTGAAATACCTTTTTTGTCATTTTTGTAAGGTGAACGTTCTGAAGTGATTTCACAAGATGAATAATTTTTACATTCACCTTCTCGTCGTCTTCTTGGTCGATGTGGATTCTTGGGAATATTTACTTCGATAGAATTTGAATAACCAGAGTCGGATTTTTGACGAGTTATCAATGATTGTTTGAGTAATGTAGAAGATGATTCATTATTAAAAGATTTTCTTGATGATCTTAGAATGTCTACATCAATAGTATAATGTTGTGCATCTTTAAATGCATTATATACATATTGTAATGCTCTAGAAAATAATAAAATGAAGAAATAATTAATGACTAGTTAGTTAAATGGAAACAAATTACAAGATTTACATCAGCTGTTGGAATTGATTCATATGGATAAATTAAATTACAATGCTAAACTGAATATTATTCATAAAATATATACATATGTAGAATACTATTCTTCAATTTATCTATGTCAAGGAATAGTCCTATTGGTAATTGTAACATTCAGTTATGTAAAGTTTCAAAGTATAATAAGTGTTCGTCCAAGATTTTAGAGACATCTTGTTGAGGAATGTCAATTATTGGAAATCAAACATACTGTAAAACATCATGCAATTTAATCAATCAAATATGAAGCAGATATGCTAGAAAGAGTCCAACGACGAGCTACTAAGATGGTACAAGGTCTAGCTGGCCTATCTTATGAAGGCAAACTGAGACACCTTAACTTGTTTCCGTTATCTTACCGTAGAGTACGGGGTGATCTAATATTGGCTTACCGTATACTGAACGATGACCTTGGTATTAACATGTCTTATCTTTTGCTTCCGTCTGGAGTTCCGTTTCTCGTACCGAGTAGTGAATTACTAGAATTCTCTACCGGAACACGTAATATCAGCACCGTCTGTTAATATATTCAAAACGAGATTGGACCTCCACAGTATTACAAACTGCAAGGATTAATATAGGTCGACAGACCTCCTATCCTGAAGACTGAAGACTAGTGACTATATATAAGAAATTTCATTACAGTCAAATAAAACATTGGTTACAACTCAATGATTAAACTGTTTCGATTTAAATAAGACGGTTAGCAATATCAGACAGAAAGTGTATAAGTTAAGGTCAAATACATGAACTTTTAAATTCCTGTCAGTAACTTAGTCCGAAGTTAGCAATTTTAATCGTAAGTAAATAGATGATAGAATAATATTAGTCATAATAATAATAATAATTTTGCTTCAGTTTGTTTAAAATAGCACTTAGTACTTTACACACTAATCCAAGATTAAGATCAATGTGTATATGTGTATATTTTCATACTACTTGGATTAAAACTTGAATACTCCTGACCAAAACACTTTACTGGTGACATTAAGTTGACTATACACGACTATTAATCCGTTAATTACAATTTTCTAAGCTGAATCTCATGTGCTGACTGTTTTCATAAACTTGTAAAATTTTGTACATGAAGTGCAAGTTATGTAATCGGATCGAAGAAGAGAAACAAAGTTTATAACCTACTAATATAATTCAATTGGTTGTGTCAATTTTCCCACTAATGTTTAGGATTGCAATTGATCTGTCTCTTATTGGCATATGTGTATCCTGTACGGACTGCCTTAAATAACAAGCATAATAAGCAAAGATAGATGACGGCTATCAGTGGAATCCAGGACGCGTGTTCCATCCTATTTTGAACTCGTTGGTTGAATGTACCTGCATCCCAGAGTTGATGTTCACCCCAGGACACGAACCCAGTAGCGTTCGCTACAAACGCCATCTCTTTATTCAACTGACGAGTGTTAAATAGGACTTCAGAATCTCCACCTACTTATTAGGGCTATATGAGGGTTACAAACCAATATGAGTAATTAGAATTGTGATTTACAGTTGACAGTTAGGATAAGGAATTACATTTAAGGTTTTCATCACGAACTGATATCAGCTAAAAATACCAAAACACTATTTAGCCAAATAGATGAATGAATCTCATACCGAAATCCAAAACCTGTTATCCTAAATCTGATTAGTTCATTCATAAATTATAGTCTCACATAATAATTAATATACACAAAATGTTTAGCATGATAAATGAATATCTATTCCAAGACATAAACAAACAAACAAAAAACATATTAACTTACTCTGCTTCGGACATTGTCGATAATTTATGATTATTCACACTGACAATAATATCATTCAATTGAAATGGAATACTATTTTTATTATTATTATAACTACTAATATGTACACGAGGTAGACAATATTCCGATTGTATAGCTTTGTGAACTAAACGAAATCCTTTAAATCTAACATATAAATAAAAAAAATAAATAAAATAGTTGTCTATTTGTTTGTTTGTTTGTTTCTTTTGTGATTTCAAGATAAATGATGTTAGAGATAGAATTATTTCAATGAAATGAAATGAAAGAAAAAAAGAAAGTACTTGACATGTTTCACGTGAATGGACAAAATATTCTATTTAATGTATAGGAATTGTAAACATTTATTTACAGTGTTTTGAGTTCTGATTGGCTTATTAAATGACCAATCATGTGTCAGATAATAATATTTAAGAATTAATTGGGTAGATTCTGATAAAATATTCTAATCAACTCAGTTGTGATGAAGAATCACCATTTCATCGATCGATTAACACACTTTAGATAGCATTCTATAGTTAACCTCAGACATTGTTCACTCGATGATTCTAAGCGATCACACGAAGACGTCTCCTACTTTAAAGGTAATAATGTTGTAAGGACAATTAGAGCCTGCCGTGAAGCTAAACTATTAATCCTGTATAAAACAACATGCTCAACAACTGACATGTTGACGAGTATTTTTTTTAAAATTACCGTCAACTGTATCTATAAATTTACATGTACATATCAAAGCAGCTTCTAATCGAACCAGAGAAATAATTAAATAACCCAATTTCTAGACATTTTTCGGATACGGAACATCAGGTCGATATCTTGAAATTTTTCAATTTGATGAATAGGAGGCTGAGCTCCAATCTTCTAAAGTTTGTTGAAATCATTGCTATCAGGCGTCAGAAACCTGATTTATGTGTTGGAAACGAGACAGTTGTAAATTCTTCTCTGCCTTGATAACACAAACACTTCGTAAAATTATATCTAACTCTTTCTTTACATTGATTACATCACTACGCTTTCTAGGATAATCATTTTATTTCAACTAACTTGGTTTAACTCATTTTATTCTTACTTACTATTAGTATTTAGTCGCTGTGTAATCACCTCTTTCTAGTTCTCTGGTCTTTGCCGCTATTAGTATTGTAGAAAACTCTTACATAATATACATATAATCTCGTAAATTCACTTACATCCTTCATATTTTAAACTAACATTAGTTCATAACAACTTCTAACTAAGCTAATTTATGTACGTTATTTAAACCTATTTTACAAATATGGTTTTTAAGATATTACAGTTTGTAAAAAACTGACGAGAATACAATGAAATCAAATGAATCCATGTTATTCTGCTCAAATCTTCCCTCTTACTCTAAGTAAGGTGTTTGTGTGTGAAGTTCGTTGTCTTTTATGAACCATCAGCTAAGGGAAAATGACTTGAGTTTTACTAAATAATTAGATGGCATACACACTGATCTACACTATTTCAATTAATGGTAGTAATAAAGAAAAAATTAATGTCACTTATTTATTAAACACATGTTTGTGTACTCGGTTTCAAGATTTAATTTGGTTGTGTGCAGTATTTAACAGTACTCTTCTCTGCTGCCTAACTCAAAGTATGTGGTTCGCTCTATATTGGCAGAAATCATTACGACAAAAAATTTAAAAAGATGGACGAAAAACCAGACGAACTAATATAAACTTCAATGGAAGGTTAACAAAATTGATCCTTTATATCTCACATCAATGAGCAGGAACAAATGAAGGCAATGTAATCACAAAATCAAAAATAAATATGAGCCCATTCATTCTTTCAGATAGTATGGATTGTAAGCTATTGAAGTTTTATAATACAAATGAAACTCATTCAATATAGTCAACACAGAGCCTGGAGAAAGTTTGTATTAGCTCGATTTGTTATTATGAAATCAATAAAATGAATAGTAGAAGAATAGAAATATCAATAATATTGAGAAAAACTAAACATTGAAGAATACGACTCCGAAAGAAGGTATCCACTTGAGAAATAAAAATTATGAAGTAAAATTGAAGCTTGAGACTAGGGAGAAAAAAGTGGGTGGATGATTGATTCTTAACCATGTCACTCAACACCAAATATTTGCAAGATGATTTTACGGGATTGAATTAAAGAGTTTGCATCTAACAACACTGGTCGAACCAATAATGATGTAATAGACTGATAACACTTCTTCGTCTGACGATCCCTAGTGTTTTTTAGAATGAACGCCTGAATTGGCCACCCTCATGCATTAAGGTAGGTGGTAGACTTGGTAAATATTTCGTCTAAATTCATTAGTATTAAAAGCAAATGTTAATATAACTCATTCATAGAGCATAGGTATATGAACTAGACCTCGAACCATACATATGCATGTTAAAGAAATATAATCATCTATGCAAACTGAATTGTGTAGGTATACCATCTGAAGCCATAACTAATTGAAAAATCCGATGTTTCTATTACATAGTCAATAATTAATACATAGTTTTACATTATGAATGGCAATGGATGTTAGTCATGTAATACGGAGAATTAACTGAAACCAGAAATGTAAACCCTCGAACAACAACTCCGCGATTTGAAGGGTAAATGTTCCCCGTGATGACTGAAGGTCCTAGGTTCGAGCCGTGGTAATGTTAATAAGGTACATAAAAGGACGTAATAACTATCAAGTATCTCATGGTTTTCAATTGTTTTCGAACTAAGGTCAATTTGTGGTGTAAACCTACAAATCTGACAAACGCCACAACTTTTTATCAAAATTAACACAATTAATTTTCACTAACATATAACTGAATAACCTGGGTCTCCAACAGAAAAATAGAACAATGCTTACTTTGTTTCGCTACCATGATGATTCGATGTAAAAGGTTTTAATGCATAATTTAAATGATCCCATGATGGTAAGTTTGATAAACGGAATGTTTTTAGTTGATAGTCATCAACATCATCATTATGACGATGATGACAGTGATTAGAATTCTTCAAAGACTTACTACTGCTATTAGTATGAATCGATGATGCTGATGATGATAAATAATCAATGAATTTACTATCGACTCGTTTAGCTGTACATTTTCTGATATCCTCAACATTACTGTCATAACTTTTAGGCGATATTTCATTGTCTGGTTCAGATGAATCTTGATGTAATGCATTTGTATGATAAGTTAATACATTAATACCACCGAGTGATTGACGTAATACACTATGCCGATGGAATGAACTACGATTCTCATGATGGTGTTGTCGACGTTGACGATGTGGTTTTCGATGTTGTGATGACTGTCGATCGTTTTCTTGTTCATTAATTGGAGTAATTGTTGAATGAGTAGAATTGCTAGTATATTTGATAGTGTAATTTTTGCTGTCACTTGGTGAATAGGAAGAGTTTCGTTGTAGAGTAGCAGCAGTATTAGTCGGTTGAGATGCGAACAACTCTAAATAATTGTCATTATTGTGTGTAGATCTGGTAGATAATGGAGGTGAAGGTGTTGAACAGTCAACATCACATGAGAATGGTAGTAGAGCAGAACGTTCAGCCTAGAGAATAGAAACATCACAGTAAATAAGTCAATTGTTTTAGAAATAATGTCTTTCGAATAAAGAGTTTCCATAACAATATTATTTTAATCATGAAAACAATACTACTTGAAACCTATTGAGAATTATCAAACTTGTTGGTTTAAAACCTAAAATCAAAGAAAAATAGAACATTAAAAACCACTCAACAAACAATAATTTTAAAGTTAGGTAGTTTAGCTCAAGTTTCATGTTAGATGGCACTCATTCAACAATAAATGGTACATGTAATCTTGATGAAATTAATACTCTGTATGGAATTCGAATGCTCATTAAGCAGCTTCGTAGTGAGAGGGTACCTACTACTGCAGAACTGAGATGTTTTCATTGACTGATTAATAAGTATTGAATAGTGAGATGATCTTTTAATTCTTCTTCTTGATCGAATTTTATCGATTAATATTTCTTTCTATTGTATTCCCTTCATAAAAAATTATAATGAACGATATCTCTTTTGATAAAACATGGTATATACGTATATACTTTTAATGATCAAGTGGTATGAAAATTAAAGACACATATCTGAAGGTTGAAAATAAATATTGGTTTGTCACCATATAATTGAACACTTATACTGTGAATCATTTACTTAGTACAAGTTCCTTTGCTAAGTTTCGGGGTTCATAAATTGCTTGTGTGAATGTTATATTTAGTTGCTTAAACCGAAATAGGTGGAATGTGATGTTTAAACATTTAATGTATTGATTGGAAAATGAATGATTTAACCAATAAGTTACCACTTCACTAGTGAATGATATACTACTTAATACCATTTTTATAAGACCAGAATTTAAACACAAATTTCTTAGGATTTACATCTAAAAACATTGGAATATGATAAATAAAACTGAGAAGTTAAGTAATATTAGCTGATCTCCTAGCGAAATTAATAAATGACAAATGTATGTATTTATTACATCATGATTCGTGATATACAAGAGTGGATTAAACAAGATTTCCATGGTAACATCATATCATATAACAGTAATGTATGTAGAAAGTATTTCGGAAAGAGTAGTTATGTATAATGATTAAGATGAATAATAACCATTCAGACTTGGTGCTTTAAACTTAGGTTATTGGCAAAAATGTTATCGGATATGTCCGACTTTCAACTATTCGGTTACAGGTACGAACCCCACCCCTCTTACTTACAATTAACACTACTAGCTATCAAGATGATATATGGTAGTTACAGTAGAATATGAATAATCACTGAGTGTGAAGAAACAGACCCTCAGCCTACTAACTGTTAAATATGTGGTTTTCTTTTCTCTCATTGATTTCTACTCCGGACTCACTGAGTGTGACTGCTTGTAATTGTATTGAATAAAGTATCATCTAGTGTTAATCTGGTTCTCTATTCTGGATCGTAAATCCTGGATCTGGTACAACGTGACTAATCTCTTTATCGTATTAGCGTAGTATATTTGAGGAAGAAAGAGAAAAGTATTTTATACCATCCATTATGTAACAAACTGAGTGCACTTCAAAGCTAAGTACACAAATATGTATCTGGTAAGTTATGATTTGATATGTAAAATGATTAATAAAAGACACTGGAAAGTCTATAATTCATTGATAATTCTATCCAGTAAATGATGAATAAGAATCAATGATAGTTTTAAAAACAAAAACCATGCATTATTCCAAGGCGTCAAAAAGTGAACATATAGTTTCATAGATACGCATGCAATTTATTATTTACAAGTCAGTTACACTTGAAACAGTGAGTCTATTTATTTATGTTTGAATAATATAAAATCCTGAGAAAATGTAACGCGATTGTTCAACTGAAAAATCACTTCTTTTAGCTCCTATTACAAAACTACATAACACAAATGGAATCTGTTAAATCTACAGCATAGATTCTTAATATACCGCGTATAACTTGAGCACTTGAACACTAGAACCCTCCAAGTCACAAATAAGAAGACAGAAGACAAGTGAAAGGAATGCTATTCCAAACAGTGTCAAATATGGTACAGAACTATCAGGTATTTATAGTTTTTTTATAGTAAGAACGAAATCATCATTGTTGTCATCCAATCCGCATACATGCGGTTTTAGCAATTGTCCAATAGGGAAGCTACATGTAGAGATTCTGGAATGTCCTTCCAAAAGATAATTAGATGGAATATCTTCGGCTCGTTCAGAGGTTCCTCGAGTTCACCCGTGGGTCGTCCTCACAGAATCGGCTGTCTTCTAGCGAATCCACTCTTCAACATAATATGATTATTGTACAAGGGAGCAACAAATACATATGTGCCACACGATAACAATGAAGGCAGTAGTAGTTATCACTGGTTTATGTAAGGGCTGGAATACTGTCCGGGTGCCCAAACCGAAGTAGGTAGTTTTCTTAGGGAGCCACTGCCCCAACCTTTAACCTAGAGGTCTAATCCACAGGGCAGTGGGGCGACGTAAGGAGATATAGTCCCATGGTAGCCAGTGACCAACATTAGGTTCATACTCTATTTGCTCTTCAGGATACTGGAGCCTATGTGCACCATTAATTTGAAATCAGGGTTTCCCAACTCCCCTAAGTGGATCCGCTGATCCCAGCAACCCGGATAAAGCGCCGGACATTCGTTTTTCGTCCTCTCAATTTGGTAAACGACACCCCTGCGACGAAATGGAAGTGAGTAGAACTTCCCTATCAGTGGCTGTATACTCGTGGCCATGTGAGAGCATTTTGAGAGGGAGAGCTGACTCTCCCCACCCTCGACCATATCAGAGCATTTGTAGACCAGAAATAAAATTGTAGAAAAAAAGAAGAACAATAACGACCAGATTATTGTGAGGTAGTGTAAATAATATTAATAATAATAATGGGGGAGACGGAAAAGTACAACTAGAAGAATTCTTTCAATTAAGGAAGATACAACCACTTTTTATGAAGAAAGTAAAAGGTTACAGTAGGATCGACACTGGCTTCTATTCTGAACCATATCTGATAACGTCTCTAGCCACTGTGTTGAACCATCTCTTGGGTCCCAACCAGGGAGTTGTGAAGGACCAACAGAAGCCAGCCCTTTGCAGCTTTCTTTTATACCCCGACACCGTGTCGTACACTGACCATGACGATATTTACTGAAAATTGTATTCACACTTCGATTAACAGTTGAATTAATTTAACAGAACATACAATTTGTGGGGACCAAGAAAAAACAAGAGCTTATTTTGCTTAAAAAAAGGGAACGAGAAAACACGATGCCTTCTTTAATTACTCATTTTAAGAATTTATGTCCCTCTGTTCTTTATATTCAGAATGAATCTTTGATACTGGCAAACAGATGTGTCATTATCACAAGGCGATTATATTGAGAACGCATTTCTTAGTCAGAGAATTCAGTATACGCTTTCTATCTTATCTGAAACACTCATACTTGGATTCAATGCAATTATTTGTAACGTCATACTTCCATCCGCTACCCATCTATTCAACTGTTATAATATTCAGTATTAATTAGCGATTATTACACAAATTAAAGCTAACTTTTAAATACGGTCAACGCTAAAACATCTGTTTATTAATCAACCCATATGTCAATAGATTGACTTGTAAAATGTTTTACTAGTTAAAGTGGATAGTGTAGGATTTAAGTATTAATGTGAACGTTAACTCTGAAAATTCTGTTATAAACTGTCATTTTCTATTAAATTATAAGTTGGATACGGATAATTCTTCGTTAGTGGAACACATCATGATATAAGGGGTTATACGAGTAAACAATAGACACATTCCAGCATGTTATCACACTAAACGTATTATATATATACAGCGATTAACTGGTTGACCCCGGTCAACTTCGTTTGAAGTGGCACAGTTTACAATAAAATATCTATATTCGATTAGCAGCTCTTAAACAATATCCCAATTTACTACCACGTTATTTAGGTGAGGCTACCTTGAAGTAAGCCAAAATTAACTATAACTATATACGTAACACATCCTTATGTCACTTAAGTTGATTATGATTTATAACGAAATTATCACTACTAATTTTAGTACTTAATTACTTATATACAACACAAACAAGTGTCAATATAAAGTATGCACAACTGAATTCTAAAAATATAAACACAGTTGATTGATAATAGAATTTTCTATGATACTTAAAAATTTAAGCAAACACCTATAATCTACACCATGCATATTTTATAAAGAAATAAGAAAAACAAAATATAAAGTGGATTGAAGTATTACTCGAGATTGAAATATACATACAGTTCACATTAGTACACCAAGAGAAGAAAATGCAAAGAACAAAAAATGGGAACGAAAGAAGAAAAACTAAATTGAAATGTAATTTAACGAAAGATGGAGAATAAATACAACTGAGCTGCTGTGACTGATTGTGGGAATCATGCAACCGAATGTATCTAATCATTGTTTACAAGTATTGTATGAGTCACAATCAAGAAGATTGTACCGAATAATATGACCTAATTTTAGTATTTTCTAATCTATTCCTATGTCATTCAGGGTTGTGCATCACTGCAGGTGTCGGATGGATGCATGTAACAGTCAGTCAGCTACAACGTAGGACCAGGCAAATATGTCCATCGGTCAAAGTTACAACACCGCATTAGTACAACAAAATGAACATTAAATTCATAGAAGTAGTTACTTCAGTCGTAGTAATATATAAAAATAAAGATTCCACATAAGCATATGATACAGGGAGAAAGAAAGGCACAAATTTAAATCTCACGATTAAGGGAAGACAACGAGTGTATACACCTAAGCCATTGTGGTCGATCCTGAGCCATGTCACACAGTCTACAACCATTGATTACGATAGTCGCACGGATCCCAATCAACTAGTCTGCATCTACCAACATGGCTCAGACCACAAGTTAGTGACTTCAAGAACTGAAGCCATGTTTTGGTTCGACCGCCCCTAACTTTCTTCCAACCGTCTGTCCAATACTAGCTAGCATTGCGCGTTGTGTCA